TATTTTTCTTACGGTGACATTTGAACTAATTTTTTACGTGATACTAAATTCCTAAATTTGATTACTATATTATTTTACATATCACATTCACTATCTATTTATCATTGATACTAGCAAAAGATATTGACTCAAATTAAATGTACTTTGTCAGATATACAAAGATTTGATAATAAAAGATTTGTAATTGTGTTAAGAAAACAAAGGTCTTAAGAAAGTTTAGAGGGGGGCATAGGATCCCCCAATGCCCTAGCTCCCTCTCCGCCTCAGACTATATATCCTGCTAATATAATCCAACTCACCAAATGAATATAATAGAAGAATGAATGTCCCAACATATCGTATGGTACAAGGTATTAAACCCTTCTTTGGTGACTGATCCCAAATATTTCTTGTGTACAAACAAAGTAATTAAAACTGCCAGACAAAATCATATCCGCAGCATGTCAAAAACAGAATATACAATGAGGCCTGTGGTGGAGAATAGAATACCTTTTAGAAAAGTAGCCCAACTCCTTATAAGTATATATAACTTTTCAATGCGAGACAATACTCTTAACAGTCTGAATGCACCACGATCTCTCTCCTACTCAAAGTCCAAAGGTTCACACCACCCTTTCACACTCCCCTCACGAAAAAAGCAAAATAGGCCGGTGTGTTTGGGTTGGGTGGGTGCAGTAATTTTCAGATCAAGTAGGCCTTTTTTCTTTTTTAATTGTACTAGAATTCAGGTCCAGCTAAGCCCTATCATAATTATCGTTATGCATTCGTGGCATGAAAATAAAGTTAAGAATCTCTGCAAAGAATTCTTGTTCATTCTAAGAAATATCTCATACAATACCCGCGTGGTAACTAACCTAAACAGAAATTAAAACGTCAAAATAATATGCCGAATAAAAAAAATGAAATTAAAATTCAGTTAAAAAAAGAAAACGAAAAAGGTCCACAAGATCCTGAAAATCAAACACTGCACCCCAAATAAAAATGGGGTCCACGCATCACCGGCCTATTTGCCCTTTTTGCGTGAAGAGAGTGTGAAAGGGTGGTGTGAATCTTTGTACTTTGAGTAGGAGAGAGAGTGTCGGGGTAAGGATTTTTTCAGGGCTAAATGAAGACTGGTTCACTGGTTGGTACGTAAATGGTTTACTGTTTGGTACGTAAATGGAGACTGGTTGGTAAATGTAATGATGACAATATTCAAACACATTAGCTTGGACCTTATTTTTTGGTTGGCCATGGAGTCAAAAGAGTTTATGGCTTGCTTTGGGCACTTGGGTACTTATGATATCTTAGGGATCAATGAAATTTCTCTCCTAATCTCCTCAAACCAAATCAAAATTGTTAAACGGAAACCATCAGGTTTATTCAACTTACTAATGGGGTGTGTAAACTGGTGTTGAGAGAGTAATAGCATGAGAGGAAGCTCAGTATAGTCAACCGACCTTGAGAATTTTGCCCATCAACAAACTCTCTAGGCAACTTTATATGCCCATAACTTTATTAGACTGTCACACGCATCATCCATTAGACAAGAAATTAGTGACGGAGCCATAAATTTTGACAGAGGAGGCACCTCAAATATTAAAATATATTTTTCTTATTTGTCGAAAGTGAAGATAGAAAGATAATAAAGCAACCAATTGGCAGAGCACGTCTGAATGCACCACGATCTCTCTCCTACTCAAAGTCCAAAGGTTCACACCACCCTTTCACACTCCCCTCACGAAAAAAGCAAAATAGGCCGGTGTGTTTGGGTTGGGTGGGTGCAGTAATTTTCAGATCAAGTAGGCCTTTTTTCTTTTTTAATTGTACTAGAATTCAGGTCCAGCTAAGCCCTATCATAATTATCGTTATGCATTCGTGGCATGAAAATAAAGTTAAGAATCTCTGCAAAGAATTCTTGTTCATTCTAAGAAATATCTCATACAATACCCGCGTGGTAACTAACCTAAACAGAAATTAAAACGTCAAAATAATATGCCGAATAAAAAAAATGAAATTAAAATTCAGTTAAAAAAAGAAAACGAAAAAGGTCCACAAGATCCTGAAAATCAAACACTGCACCCCAAATAAAAATGGGGTCCACGCATCACCGGCCTATTTGCCCTTTTTGCGTGAAGAGAGTGTGAAAGGGTGGTGTGAATCTTTGTACTTTGAGTAGGAGAGAGAGTGTCGGGGTAAGGATTTTTTCAGGGCTAAATGAAGACTGGTTCACTGGTTGGTACGTAAATGGTTTACTGTTTGGTACGTAAATGGAGACTGGTTGGTAAATGTAATGATGACAATATTCAAACACATTAGCTTGGACCTTATTTTTTGGTTGGCCATGGAGTCAAAAGAGTTTATGGCTTGCTTTGGGCACTTGGGTACTTAGGAATCAATGGAATTTCTCTCCTAATCTCCTCAAACCAAATCAAAATTGTTAAACGGAAACCATCAGGTTTATTCAACTTACTAATGGGGTGTGTAAACTGGTGTTGAGAGAGTAATAGCATGAGAGGAAGCTCAGTATAGTCAACCGACCTTGAGAATTTTGCCCATCAACAAACTCTCTAGGCAACTTTATATGCCCATAACTTTATTAGACTGTCACACGCATCATCCATTAGACAAGAAATTAGTGACGGAGCCATAAATTTTGACAGAGGAGGCACCTCAAATATTAAAATATATTTTTCTTATGGTGGCATTTGAACTAATTTTTTGCGTGATACTAACCCTAAATTTGATTACTATACTCTATTATTTTACATATCACATTCACTATCTATTTATCATTGATACTAGTAAAAGATATTGACTCAAATTAAATGTACTTTGTCAGATCTACAAAGATTTGATAATAAAAGATTTGTAATTATGTTAAGAAAACAAAGGTCTTAAGAAAGTTTAGAGGGGGGCATAGGATCCCCCAATGCCCTAGCTCCCTCTCCGCCTCAGACTATATATCCTGCTAATATAATCCAACTCACCAAATGAATATAATAGAAGAATGAATGTCCCAACATATCGCATGGTACAAGCTATTAAATCCTAATATTCCAATTATTCTTTGGTGACTGATCCCAACACGTGGTGGATAGTATGCTTTCAATACGGGACAATACTCTTAACGGTCTGAATGCACCACGATAGTGGAGGCGCACCTAACCCAGAAAAGCATGAGATAGTGTATTTGAATATTGTCATTATAGATCTTATCTGCAATTAGATTTAGAATACCAACCAGTGATTGCAACAGTAGTCTTGATTTTAAGCGTTTTACTCCATTTACCCCTTTTAATGTTGATGAATTGCTAGAAAAATTGCTTATCCGAACGCTCTCTCTCCTACTCAAAGTCCAAAGGTTCACACCACCCTTTCACACTCCCCTCAAGAAAAAAGCAAATAAACCGGTTTGTGCGACCCCATTTTTGTTTGGGGTGGGTGGATGCAGTAATTTTCAGGATCAAGTAGGCCTTTTTTCTTTTCTACTAGAATTCAAGTCCAGCTAAGCCCTATCGTAATCATTGTTATGCATTCGTGATATGCGTTCGTGGCATGAAAAAAAGTTAAGAATCCCCGCAAAGAATCTTGTTCATTCTAAGAAATATCTCATACGGTACCCGCGTGGTAACTAACCTAAACAGAAATTAAAACGTCAAAATAATATGCCGAATAAAAATAACTGAAATAAAAATTCAGTTAAAAAAACAAAAAGAAAAAGGTCCACTAGATCCTGAAAATCAAACACTGCACCCCAAATAAAAATGGGTCCCACGCATCACCGGCCTGTTTGCTTTTTGGCATGAGAAGAGTGTGAGAGGGTGGTGTGAATCTTTGGACTTTGAGTAGGAGAGAGAGTGTTGGGTAAGCAGTTTTTCAGGAGTAAATGGAGGCTGGTTCACTGGTTGATACGTAAATGGTTTACTGGTTGGTAAATGGAGACTGGTTGGTAAATGTAATGATGACAATATTCAAATACATTAACTTGGACCTTATTTTTTTGGTTGGCCATGGAGTCAAAAGAGTTTATGGCTTGCTTTGGGCACTTGGGTACTTATGATATCTTAGGGATCAATGAAATTTCTCTCCTAATCTCCTCAAACCAAATCAAAATTGTTAAACGGAAACCATCAGGTTTAATCACACATGAACCAAAGTTATTCAACTTACTAATGGGGTGTGTAAATTGGTGTTGAGAGAGCAATAGCGTGAGCAGGAAGCTCAGTATGTCAGCCGACCTTGAGAATTTTTCCCATCAACACACTCTCTAGATAACTTTATATGCCTAGTACTTTATATACTAAATTGACATATAGGAGCTCCTTTAGCCTATTATACAATCATATGATAATCCTTAAGCACCGGGACCGATATTCTAGTGCTGGAGTAGGAGAGGTTGGGAGGTTGAGGGCGGGGTGGCGACATGCATTTTAACAAAAAATTTGCCGTCTTACACATCACCCATTAGACAAGCAACCAGTGACGGAGCCAGAAACTTTGACAGAGGAGGCATCTCAAATATTAAAATATATTTTTCTTACGGTGGCATTTGAACTAATTTTTTACTTGATACAAAATTCCTAAATTTGATTACTATGCTCTATTATTTGACATATCACATTCACTATCTATTTATCATTGATACTAGCAAAAGATATTGACTCAAATTAAATGTACTTTGTCAGATATACAAAGATTTGATAATAAAAGATTTGTAATTTCGTTAAGAAAACAAAGGTCTCAAGAAAGTTTAGAGGGGGGCATAGGATCCCCCACTGCCCTAGCTCCCTCTCCGCCCCGGATTATATCCTGCTATATAATCCAACTCACCAAATGAATATAATAGAAGAATGAATGTCCCAACATATCGCATGGTACAAGGTATTAAACCCTAATATTCCAATTATTCTTTGGTGACTGATCCCAAATATTCCTTGTATACAAAGTAATTAAAAGTGCCAGACAGAATCACATCCGCAGCATGTCAAAAACAGAATATACAATGAGACCTGTGGTGGAGAATAGAAAGTTTTACTCATTCACGCCGTCTAATAGGTTTTACAATAACTATAAAGAGTTTATACAATGCGGAGGAGTCCAATGGCAACATCAAATTCTCATATGGTATATCTCAATTCACATGGCTAAAGAAATTCTGGAATTACTATGATAAGCCTAAAAAACGCAATAATCGTCTTATAATATTCTTGCAGTTGTATTTGATGTTGCCAAAGTTTTGTATCCCAACTTTTCGGGAATTAACTGCTATAATTGTGTTCTTATAAATGTCGTGACTGATACCTTCGTTTTTGTGAAAGCCCTCGTTTCCTTCACAGCCACCTTCAGCTTGGCCGGCATTGATGTTGACGTTGTGAAAGTTGAGCATCCCAACATTTGAGGATTGATATTTTGCTGTAATTTCATTGTTAGAAATTATGGATTCGTTGGTGCTGCGACCTTGGCCTTGGGCGGAACTCGAGCCACCTGCTGCTTTGCCGTGATTTTTAGTACTAGTAGACTTGAAGTTGATGTTGCTGTTGCCAAAGTTTTCAAACCCAACGTTTGTGGATTTATTTGCAGTAATTTTATTACGATGCATGTTGTGACAGATACCTTTGTTTTTGTGGAAGCCCTTGTTTCCTTCAGAGTCACCTTCAGCTTGGCCGGCATTGATGTTGACGTTGTCAAAGTTGAATTTCCCGACATATGAGGATCCCTTGGGTGCTGTAATTTCTTTTTTAGAAATTGTGGATTGCTTGGTGCTGCCACCTTGACCTTGGGCGGAACTCGAACCACATGCTGTATTTTCATAACAATTGGATTGGCTGGTTCCACCACCTTGGGGTTTCTTTCCTCTTCCGCTAACTTGGCCTTGGGCGGCGTTGCTCCCGTTGACATCTGAGTTGGGAGGCTCAAAAATCCCAACATCCGCTGCGTGATCGGGGTTCATAATTTCATTTGTGGCACTATATCTGCTGCTGCCGTCGTCTTCTTTCATTTCTGGCTGGAGGTTTAATAGACAACAGGTACACAAACAAGATAAATTTTAATCATAATTCTATTCAAATTTTAAAAGATCAGAAACGATATTTGGATTACAAAAATCCTACAAAGCAGGAATCAGATTCAGCAAGGACTAACAAAAATAAAAAATAAAAACCATGAGTAACTGAGGGGAAATCTTCCAAATAAAAATAATAATTAGAAGAAAAAAAATTGTGTTATAAGTCCTGAAAATTTTAAGAATTAACAAACCGAGACAAAATTTTACATCTTCAAGCAAAAGCAAATCTTGTTCTCTCACCCCTCTCTTTTGGATGATCTGCTTCTAATTACCTAGACACTAAATTTATTCAATGAAGACCCAAGCCCTAATTCTGTTCATTGAACACCAAACCCCTAATTTGATAGAATGGAAGCCACAATAAAGCAGAAAAATGAAAGAAAAATCGACATAAGTAACTCATAATTCCAAAAATGAAACAAAAAATTAGAAGAAAAAAATTGGAAAGACATACCAACTGTGTGGCCTGGGTCTATAGCTTCGATTCGACCAACGAAGCAGAAAATGACTGTGAGGTGTGGATGGAGTTTGGACTGAGAGCAAAAAAATGACTGTCCTTCCTTCCTTCCTCCCACTTTTATTTCTTCTTCTTTTTAGTTAATGAAATTTTTGGTTTTGCACTAAAGATAATAGAACGGCAAAATCATATATTAAGAGTGCTGATATGTGATCGAAAATGAGTTGAGGAGAAGAGTTTTTCTTTTGTCAAACTGTATAATGGGTGGGTTAAGGTTTTTTCATAAGTCCTTAGAAGTCATTTATAAAGGGATAAATTTGTGTTTAAAATTCTAAAAATAAGGTGGAAAGGAAAATAGAACATGGGGCTGAAATAGCTGCATTTTATATTAATACTAGAGTCAAAAGAGTGTACAACTAGTCGGCAAGGGAGCCCATCAAAATCATTGCCTGTAATTCTTATAAGAAGATTACTAGCCTCTCCGTACGCGCTTTCGTGCCTGTGAGAGGCCTTTTTTAATAAAAAAAATTAAAATTTATTTTAGAATTAAAAGAGATAATGGGTAGTTGTGTTCTATAAAAATAGGATTCATTATTTTTCTTTTAATTTTAATTTTTTTAATATAAAAATGTGTGAATTTACCATATTATCTTGATTTAATTAATAATTTTAATCCTTAATGTTTGGATTAACAGAGGACATTTTTTAGTATTTTGAATGTTTCACCATTCTCTGCTTTTTGTTTTATATATATAGATAATATCCCACAAAATAAGTGACACAATTAAGAAAACAATAATGAATTTATGGGCTAGTGTGATCCCAGGCCTCCACTCCACTTTTTACCTCTTCTATTTGTATATTATATATGATATATAATATTATAAAATATTACATTAGTTTTAGAATATGTCTTTTTGTCTACAAATTAACTATATAATTTCTTGATATCTCTTCTACTTTTCTCCCTTAAATCTTCTAGGTTAATTTATGATATTTGCACTAAAAACTCCCAAAGTTTTAACCTTTCTTTCTCTTCCTCTTTTGTTTAAAGCTTTGTGAATTTTTTATCTTCCTCAAATTTTTTTTTTCATGTATAAGTTGGGTACCTTAATATATATTGCGCTTTATGAACTTTTTTTTTTTTTTCTCTATTTATTTTCAGTTTTGGAATATAAATGATTAATTTTTAAGTCTTTGCATAGATGAGTATCTAAACAATTTAAAATATGAAATGCATGATAATTATGAAGAGAAGACAAGTTTTATGAAGGGCTCCTCTAATGTGAAATCCGAGCTCCGTCACTATTACTTAGCATTAATATACTTATGGCATGTAGAAGAAGAAAGAATACAGAAATATAAGATAAATAAGATTCAAATTCAGATGAAGGAACGAAAAGAAAAGTTTGACTGTAACAGCTTTGGTGGCCATACATCTCCAAACCCTTCCGCTGCGTAATCGCACGGGAAACTCCAAGCCTCGCGTTTCTTGCTTACTTATTTATTTGTTTATTTATTTTCTGCCAACTATTTAATTTTTTTCTTCTTGGTCGTGTCTGCTTTTTCACTCAAGCCACTTGCTTCATTTTTTGTTTTTCTTACTCACCATTAATATATAAAAGGAAAAAAAAAAAAAGCTAGAACAAGAAGACTATAAGAAGAAATGGTACGCTCGATTTCTTGTAGTACTGGTTGCCAACTTTGCTAATCCCTGCACGCTTGCCTTTGTTTGAATAAATGCTACTGCCACCAATGTTGTGGTTTTGACCCCTTCTTGCTTGATGAACATCAACATCACCTTCACCTTCACCTTCATGATATTCATTGCAAGTGTCGCGGATACCAACATCTGTGCGATGATTTCATTCTCAAGAATGTTGAAGGTTTCATTGCTTTCATTAGTATTTTCTGCCTCACTACTATTTTCGTTGTGCTGGAGCTCTTGTTCAGTTCTTTCTTCTTGGCGCTCTTGTTCAAAAAGCGTTCTAGGGTGACCAGAAAAACAGTTTCTTACCCTCTCTGTTTGGGCCAAAAGCAACCACGCACCGGCCCATTTCTCAGAAAGGCCCTCGAAACAGAAAAAAACGGAGGACTAGGCTTTGAATTCAAAAAAGAGGAAGCCCAAAAAGCCAAAATCTAGAAACCCATGATCTTTCTTGCAAATCAACCACCAAAAATAGATAAATAGAAATTGAAAGAAGTTTGATGGGGCCCAACTGTTGGTTCACCACTAAAACCTCAAAGCCCAGAGTGCAAAGATAGCAAAGATCTTTTTTGGAAAGCCTATTTTCAGAATTCATGTGACTACCTGACTTAGAAAGAGTCAACAATTTCAACTATCATAGGGGAAGTGATTGAGAATTAAATGAAAGCAGGTCATTTGGCAAGAAAATTTCTCTGAAATCCTTTTTTTTACAATTCTACGTCAGAAAAGGTGATCCTTGCAAGAGATAAGCAAGCTACAAACTCAAAAGAGATAAGCAGGAAACAAGGAGTGGTTCAAATTGGAAGATCAAACTAACCATCACGGATTGAACTCTTATAGGGGCAATTGGAATTAAAGAGGGGTTAGGCCTTCTTTTAGGAAAAACAGGGAAGTGATCTGAAGAATTGACTATTGAGAGCTTATCTACCAAATTGATAAAACCTTTTTTTTTTCTTTCCATTAAAAATGGAAGATCCTGCTTTCTAGAAAATCTGCCGCCCATTTTTAAAGGATTAAAATTTCTATTCCAGCACTCCTATAAAAATAAAGAGAGGATGAACAGAGCAAAAGGGACTCAACTCAACAATCAATCAAACAACCAAAAATCAACCAAAGGAAAAAAAAACTCAAAATGATCACTTGATCACTGAGAACCTTCAAACAAACGGGAGCAATCAAAAGCTCTCTCTTGAACCACAAAAGAAGCCAGCTATAGATTAGAACTTCCAAGTTCATACTTAGAAAAATAAGTCATTCAAAACGAGACTTCTTTCATTACAAATTTGGTTCAGCAAAAGCCAAAACAAGCAGAGTTGAAGTTTTTACAAATATGAAGACCTCAACAAATTTGTGGAGAGCCCTGATCAAGCAGAACAGGTACTATAGTGCAGTTCCAGCTCAGTAAGTCCTCAAGTCCAGCCACTTCTGCGCCTTTCAAATTGAAGAGGCTGCAATTCTGCCCATTCAAAAAGTCGTACAGGGCTTGAAATAGATTCAAGCTCTGTCAAAATTGAACTTTGGTATCGATTTACAGCTGAAGCTGAGCAATTGAAGTTAGGGACAGTCCAATCCAGCACGGATATACCCAGTCCAGTCCAGATCAGAAGCTTCTGTCTAGACAGAAATGGAATTTCAGCTATCTTTTTTCTTTCTATAGTTGATTTTTTCCTTTCTAGTTTTGTAAAAGGTAGCTCTGTCTAAAACAGTCCACTTTATTATTAATTATTCTGGTCAGAACCACCAATTTTGTACTGAGATAAATTGTGAAGTTCTCACCACTCTGAGGCAAGAAAAGAACTTACTTGGGAGATATTCATCACCCAAATTCACAATCGCTTGTTTAGAAATCAGTAATTTGGGGCGGAAGTTATCTGTTTCAAAGAAGTTTGCTAGGATTTTTCATTACTAGTAGTGGCACGCTTGCACACCAAAGAAAGTGGGCTTGTTGACGAGTCAATGGTTTTCAAGGCAATGGGGAACTTTGCCCTTTCATCACAGGAGTAAACACAAAACGGATGAACACTCTCTTGTGAGCTCTTGTTCAGTTGTTTAGCTTTAGTTCGAGACCTATCTTCTATATATGCAAACTAATTACACAAATTCCTTATAGGATACACACATAGAATCACATCAAGGAAATTATCTTGAATCAAATAAAAATATTAATCATGCATTATACATACATACCTGCCATTGATGAAAGCTCAAAAGAAAGTCTTCTCCTCTCTGTAGAGTTCTTATGTTCAACTAGTAATAGGAACACACTATTATATGTGTGGATTTATTTATTACTCTATATTATATCGGGAATGATCAACTTGAAATATGTAGACTTTGCCAAAAAGTACTGCGTGTGGAGAAGGTTAGAGATTTTCCTCTTTTTTTTTTTTCTCCCAAACCTCGACAGTGCTAGTGCATTTATTAAAAATAAAATAAAAGAATTGCAAATTAACAATCCAAAATTAAGTAAAATTAAGATTAGCCAAATCAATATAACCTAATCATACAAAAAATAATAAATACACCGGTCCTACCAGGTAAGAAGAAATCAAGGGTAAAATAGTTTGCCAAAGCAATTACCACCCCACCAAGGTGGCGTTTGGGATTGCTGCGCTTAATAAATAAGGAATTTCACTAAAACACCCAAAATGTGAGCTGAAATTATAAAAAAATTCAACACCCAAAACACTTTATAAACACACCCAAAACCCATCATTACACACACTCAAAACCCATTTATAAACACACCAAAAAAATATATAATTGTTGACTTTGGGGTTAATTTTGGGTGTGTTTCTATGTTTAAATAGTGTTTGAATTTTTTTATAAATACATGTCTAGGATTGGGTTTATTTATAAATTTATATAATAAATAAGCAGCTTATAAAAAAAAGTTAGGGAAACAAAAGCGTTTGGTAAAACAATTGAAGGCTGCTTATTTTAAAAACTGCGGTGATCCACAGCAGAATCTCGAAGCAGCCAACACGCTGCTTTGAAAAAAAACAGCGGGTTCTTTTAAATGAATTTTCACGTTTCCCATAATACCCCTAATAATTTTCTAAATTGACAGCTTTTATCCCTCTTGCAACCCGATTCTTCTTCTCTCTTGCAACTCGACTTCTGTCTGCAACTCAATTCATACCCAAAAAAAAAAAAAAAAACCTAGCCCCTAGCTCTCTACGCTGTTATCTCCACTCCAGACCCAAAAATCCAAACCACAGCTTTAAAAAAAACTCAACCTTAGCTCCCCAGTCTATGATCTCCACTCCAACCACAAAAGATCCAAACCCCAAATATATCTTCAAACATCTGTATGCGAATTGTGGAGGACCAAAATCGATAGCAACACAGGCATCTACCATCCTTGATCAACGATTTTCACAAAAAATATATTCTTGAAAACCAAAATCAAGGAAAGTTGAAACTCAAAAATCAAAACCACAGGAAAACAACATTTTCATTTGGATTTGATTTCCTTCTTGTTGTTTTCTTT